TCAGGCATAACCACCCTCCTCCATGCCCTGGTGTCAAGCTGCCTTCCACCTCAGGACCTTTGCACTTGCCGTTACCTTTTCCTCACTTCTTCGTGACTGACTCATTCAGGCCTCAGCATTCAAAGGCCACCTCCTCAGTGAAACTTCTCCTGTCCACCACCCTCAAAGACACCAGTCTGTTTCATTTTCTTCAGGACACCCACTCTAAAACATTCTTGTTTTGTTACTTTGTTTACTTGTTTACTGTCTGTCTCCCCACTAGCCCATAATGCCCTCAAGGGCAGCCACCTCCACCTCATTCATAGCTGTTCCCTCGGGGCCATGCATGAGCGCCTGACACGTACAAGGTGCTCCGAAGTCCTGGATAAATGAATAAGCAACTATGTTATTCTAGTCACTTCACTAGAAGAAGCCCTGAAGTTTGGGGGGGCCGGTGGTGTGGGCAGAGGTGGCCCACACCTCTGAGAGAGGTGTGGCTCTAGAGAGCAAGGGCTCTTCTCTGTGCCCCCTCCCCCAGACATGGCCCTGCCGCACAGAGCCCAGGAAGTCCCAGCGATTGGGGCAGAACACAGCCAATCCGCAACCCAACAGGGAGCAAAAATGCCTTCTGCACATTCTGTGTTATACCCCCTGCTACTCCCTCATGTAAAAATGCCAGGATAGGTGAGTAACAGCAGACCCCAACCCCGCAGTTGTGGGGCGACTGATACACCCTGGCCCGGCTCCAAGGTACACTGACCCCATGTCTCTAGGTATGGATGACCCAGCACCCACTGCCCCTTCCCCGAGCAACAGGATCCATCTCTTCCTCTTGGGGACTTGCCCTCCCCCATTCTCAGGTCACACGGTCCAGGTGGGCTGACCCGACCTCCGCAGGGGTTGAGGACACTAACTCAACCCTGGCTGGCTGTTTTATCTCTCTAGGCACTGAGGCTGCAAGTCGAAATGGGCAGGCGCCCATTTTGCGTGGCTCAGAATGAAAACAGAGGCAGACCCCTGGGTCCGGGCCCCACATTCCAGGCTAGGCCTCTTCGGTGATCTGAGCCAAATATCCCCTTTCCTTCTTCAGCCACCTGGCATGGTGTTTGGTCCCACTGCTACCCCTGCTAGCCCATCCTGCGCATTCTTCCACTGCTGGCCCCCGACCCCCCATTCCCAAGCCCACCGCACTCTCTTACGTTACGCTCCAGGCCTGGAACAGCTTTCTCCCCTTCATATACCTGGTAAACTCTTACTTGTCCCCGCTCAGGCGAGATTCCCCCTCCTCCAGGAAGCCTTCTCTGATTCCCTCAGACGCAGTTCCCCTGTCTTCTCTCACACTCCCACCACATCCAATGGGTTTCTCTGGGAAACCTGTACTCACTAGGTCCTGCCCGCCTAAAAGATTTCGTTAAGCTTTATTTGCCACAGTCATATTATGAAAATAGGGATTTTTTTTTTCCTCTCCAAATACAAGATGATGTTTTAACGGTTAATGTAAATTTTCAATCAATGCCTACCCCTACCCCAGTCATTCTGAATTACTCCCCTGGAGAGAGGTCTTCCCTACCCTTGATTGAAAAGTTGCAGCAAAACATCCCTCATTGATTCAGTAAACATCCACGTGTCCCCCTTGGTGGAAAGCATTGTGCTGAGAGCTGGACACACAAATTATAGAAGTGTGTTATAATCGTCCTTTTCTCTGTATGAGCTGGGAAAATGCAGGGAAGGTTCCTGCCAAATGGTTGAATTGACATTACTTTGGAAGCTGGCATTTGAGGGACAGACGGGGGACTTTCCCTTAGCACTTCATGTAATTTAAAAATGATAGGGCTAAGGGTGTTTTTTACTTTCTTAGTATTGTTCAAGTAAAACATTTCTTAGTGGTTCGCTGGTGTGTCTGTTTCCCTAGAAGACTGTGAGCCCTGAGGGGGCAAGGAAGGATCTGAGTCATTCCTAAGCCTTTAGCTTCCCGCCAGGGCCTGACACACGGAAGGCCGGGAAATGTCTGTGAAATGACCACAGGACAGAGCGGAGCGGGCACAGGAAGCAGAACGGGCAGGCATGGGACACAGGCTGAGGAAGAGCGGTCAAGTCCAGCGGCGAGACAACTGGGGCTACAGGGGGCAGCTAAGCGGGGAGGACTGTGGTACCCACTGCAGCTGGTTGGCACGGTGCCTGGAGCCCTTGGTGGTACGGGATAAACATTTGTCTGTTAGGGAAATGAGGTCACAGGGTGACAGAACTCTCGGGAAAGAAATTTGGCTCAGCTTCCTAGTTGCAGAAGGCAAACCCCAGCAGATCCGGGCTGGGGAGGGAGGAGCGAGAGGAAGGGGTTGGAGGAGGCCTTGAGAATCAGAGTCTAGGCAGGACAGCAGGTGGCAGGGAGCTTGGAGGAGGTGGTTTTAGAAGTGTATGCACGGAAGGAATGCCTGCCGCTCCCAAGGGAGGATGCCTGGCTGACCTGCACGAAGCTGCTCCATCCCTCTTCCCCCACTGGAGTCTTTGTCCCTTCCACAGATGCTTCCTCTGGCATATTCAGACCCAGCACTGGTGATTAGGGCCAGAAGCAAAGGAAAGGGGCTGGGGGCCTCCAGAGAAGGCAGGAGGCAGGAAATCAAAGCAGGTGGAGGGAGTGAAGTCTTGGAAGACTTCCTGGAGGTGTGGACTCCCAAGCTGAGGTTTAAAGGCTGAAGAGAAGGTAAAGGGAGGGAGCCGACTTCCAGGCAGACAGGAGAACGGGAGAACGGGAGCCAGGGCACAGACACTTAAGACCTGGGGGAGGGAGGAGCCCTGAGTATTGGGGATGCTCTGTGAAGAGCTGAGTGCGCTAAGAGGAACTCCCCCGCCACCAGCTGCTTAGATCTCTAGTGTGGGGAGGGGGAAGGTGGGAAGGATGGCTACAGGCAGCAGCCCTAGATCATGTGATTTGAGCCCTGGACTCCCAGGCTGCTCTGCCCCTTGGGGTGCCCTTGCCCAGGATGAGGATTTGTGGATTCAAGGAGGTCACGGTTAGCACAGTGCCTGCTACCAAGGCAGCACCTGCCAGACTCCAGTTACAGTTGCTGTGGCAAGCCAGGCACCATGGGGCTAAGTCTGGAAGAGCTGTCACAGAGCAGTGATATAGATTGCTCTATGAGTCTCCGCAGAACGAGGCCCAGAGGCAGGAAGCTCTAAGGAGGCAGAAACCAGCTCAGCATTAAAGACTGTCTCAGTGAAAGCGCTGGTCAGTAGTGGAATGGGCCCATCAGAAGCTGAACTCTGTCAAGGGAAACCTTGTGGGCACCGGACACCTTCTCTGTGTAGACAGTGTCTGGCCCCCAGGGTTCCACGAAAGGCAGTGGATAGAGAGAAAGAAAAGCGATCCAAAGAACAGTCATTGTGGGAAACTCAGGGCGAAGGGAAGTTAAACAAGGCTCCTTGCTGCAGGACTTCTCAGGACCTTCACTGCCCTGGAACACGGGCCACAGACTGAAATGCTTAGAGAACCCAGGCAGATAGCACCAATGGGTAATAGAAACAAGTGTGGATGGAGAGAGCAGGGCCATCAGGACGGGAGGCTCTGTTCTACCTACTCTGTTCCACCAACTCTCCTCATAGGAAATTTGTGGGCCACTATCTTGGGTTGAATTGGGTCTCCCAAAAAGATGTGTTGGAAGTCTTAACCCCTGGTGCCTACAAATATGATTGTATTTGGAAACATGGTCTTTGCAGATGTAATCAAGTTAAATGAGGTCATTAGGGTGGGCCCTAATGCAATGACTGGTGTCCTTACACTAAGAAGGGGAAAGGTGAATGCAGAGACAGACACGCACAGAGAGAAGACGGCTTTATGACCAAAGAGGCAGAGATTGGAGTGATCCAACTACAAGGATTTGGATTTCGGGCACTACCAGAAACTAGAAGAAGTTGAAGGAAGCAGAGAGAGATTCTCCCTAGAGCTACCCAGTTTGCGGGGCTGTGTCACGGCAGCCCTGGGAAATGAATACAGCTACTGGCTCATGATTCAGTGTAGCTGGAAGTGTCCAGAATGGCCAGAGCAGCTGCGGCATTCCCTGACCCAGCGGCCACAGGCCTCTTTTCTGAAAGAGCATCTCTCACTGGATATGCCCCAGCACACATTATAGGGCGCTGGCTCAGAGCCTTGGCCTTTCCTTCTGAGCCCATGTGGGCACCATTCCACAGAGGTGACTCCTCATTTCCTCAGTCGTAAACTGAGGATAATGGGCCAACCTCCCAGGTGTCTGGGAGACCTCGGTGAGACACACAGAAAGCGCTTAGCCGGGGGTACCACCACATGGAGGAGGCCCTCCCCCTGAGCCTCGCTGTACCCCATTGAGACATGGGGGCGGGGGGGGGCTTCCCCAAAGGCCTCCTTGGGTTGCTGGGAGCTGCCTGGCACGTGACCGGTGGTCAGAAGCGTCCACACAGACGGTCAGCCGCCTACACACCGGGCTTCTGCGGGCCCTCCACTGGAGGGCGCCTGCCCCCCAGGGCTGCCCTTACCTGTGCTGTGAGCTGGATGGGCTGGGAGAGGGTGAGCTGCGGGGTCCCGGGGGGCTGGCTGGCAGGCTGTGGTGGTGGCAGGTCAGCCCCCCCAGAGGAGGCTGGGGGTTGCGAGGTCGAGGAGGAGGCAGAGGAGGAGGAGGAGGAAGAGGAGGAGGAGGTGGAGGAGGCGGCAGCAGCGGCGGCGGCGGCACTGGATTGCTGCACGGCGGCGGCCAGGAGCTGGGCCTGGGCTTGCTGCAGGAGGAGCTGCTGCTGAGTTGGCATCAGCGCCGTGAGCTGTGGGGCATGGGCGGCAGGGCCAAAGGAGGGGCGGAGGGGGGCGGGAGGAGCAGAGAAGGCAGAGAGGGGTTAGTGCCCGAGCCAAGCAGGTTAGGGGGCAAGTCTTCCAGGAGGCCTGAGGAGGGCAGGAGGCGGGCATGAGAGCGTGGCCGCGGCCCTGGTAGGACACCCCCTGCCACGGGTCCTGTAACAGATGGGTGGCCCATGTTCCCCATCCTTCCCCAAGTACTTACCCCGGCTAGCTGGCTGCCCGTCAACATGAGTTGGGCCTGGGGCAGATGTGGCTGAGCCGGCTGGGGGGGGCGGGGGTGCTGCTGGGGCTGAGTCGCCACTGGGGTCTTCAGCCTTGATCTGGGGGGGAGAGAGGCAGGGTCCGGGACCCCAGAATGTTAAGTGGAGGCCAGAGAGAATGCCCACCTGTGAACCAAAGAGAGGGCACGTGTGTGGCAACGGCAGCCACGGGCTGGTAAAGGAGGGGGGCGTTGGGGCATGGAGGCAGGGCCCTGTGCCGACTGGCCAGTGATCTCAGGCCACCCCTCTGGCCTCGGGTTGCTCATCATTCAGTAGGGCTAACACCCCCCCCCTGCACCAAAAAGGAGGGAGCACCTTTGGAGAGCAGTTTTCCCCTCTGGGGGGTGGGGATCGGTTTCTCCATCTGTAAAATGAGGAATGTGCCAGCAGGGGGCTCGGGGCATCAAAGAATAGAGTTCCAGGCACCAAGCCCTCATAGGCTTCAGCCAGAGATGCACCTCCCATTAATGAAGTGAGACTTCATTGGAAGAATGAAAAAAAAAAAAAATCACCCCCTTGGAACATGGATCTGGAATTCAAGTAAGTATAGAAAGAGGCAGACAGTGCAAACGGGTGGCGTGGGCAGGTGAGGAGGGGTGGGCTGGTGGTGCGTGTGGGCCTCCTGGAGGAGGGGAAGCTTACTCAGCTCCCCCTCTGCTCCCACCAACCACTCATTTCAAAATCTAAAGCAAAACCCAAAAACAACCTAAAAAAAAAATCTGCTGGCAGGACCAGCCAAGCACATATGTAGGCCAGATGTGGCCCAGATGCTGCCAGCTTTTAGCCCCCACCCCAGAAGTCCACCGAACCCCGCCTTGTCTCTCGGTGCAGTATGTAGATGCGTCTTGTATCAAACACATAGGACAGACTGGCATAGAGCAGTCATGGTCTTCCTCCTCTCCTAGACAGAAAGGCCAGGCCACGGTAGGCTTGCCTGAGAGGTCAGCTGGTAAAGGACGTGTGTGGGTGGGGTGGGCGAGGCTTGGAGAATCGAGCTCTCGGGCCCAGAGGGGATGCTGGGCTGAAGGACGATCCCTAATCCCTCAGCCCAATGTCCCAGCTCCATTTTACAAGAGGGGTTCCAGAGAGGGCAAGCAACTTGTGCAAGGTGACACAGCAGCTTGGCAGGGGGGTGTGTGGCATTTGGAATGCAGTGTGAGATAAACAGAGGCCTGGCCAAGGCCAAATCCCAGAGCATGTGCCCCAGGGGATGGAGACAAATGTCAGAAAGTCTGAAGGGTCCAGGGATGCCGCATCCCGTGGTGGGAAATCGGGGGCCTCCGGAAGTCTGGCTGTGTTCTGCCTCTTAACCTGGTGCAGGCAACGTAGGTGTTCAGTTTGTGAAAATCCACTGAGGATCTCTGTATTGTCACATTTCAATTAAAAGTTAAAAATATAAAAAATAAAAACAACCAACATGGTGAGTCTTTGGGATTTCTTTCATTCTTTCTGGTTCTCTTGAGAAAGCCTCCCTTAGGGGCTGAGATGGGTCTAGCACCTCACCCCCAGCACTGCTCACCTCCCTTTCTAACAAATGAAGGGAAGGCCTCCGGCTTAGACCCATCAGCAGGCAGGAGTCTCTGGGTACATTTTAATAATCATTGTGTTGAGGCGCCTGGCTGGCTCCGTCGGTACAGCACTGACATTTGATCTCGGGGTCACGAGATCGAGCCCCACGTTGAGCATGGAGATTACTTACAAAAAAAAAAAAAATCATTGCATTTATTTCCACGGCAAGAGATTCTGGTTTTCCATTCATGAAATTTCCATTTAAAAGACATTTATTTGAGCTGTTGAAAAAGCAAGCCAGTTCATAAGCTGAGAATTGCTGAAGCTGACTGATGGGTACCTGGGGGCTTACTTTCATGATACTCTTTTTTTCTCCTTTTGTACCTGCTTCACATTTTCCATAATAAAATGTTTTTAAAATTGAAGCCAATTAACACGATTATAACGTACATAGTTGTACACGGCAGTGTGTGGATGTGTCTGAAATCATGATGGGAGCACATGAATCACTGTAGCTGGGGAAAACAGAGGCCACCAGCGAACAGGACGAGGTGTGGACAGAGGCCCAGAGTCAGAGGTCAATGCCCTCTCTGCCTCGGGCTTTCCCGAGGAACCAGGGTGCAGGCGAGGGAAGGGCAGCGAGAACCCTTCTTTCCTAGGGTCCCCTGGTTTCCCCACACAGAAGCAAGGCTGCTGTGGGGCTGGGAGAGGCTGCAAAGATAGAGCTGAGGAGGGAGAGGGTCGGGGCAATGCATATGCGCTCCGCTCCAAGGGCTAAGGCCAGAACCGTGCCTGAGATGAGAGGGAAGGAGGCCAGAGCCAGAGCCCTTCACCCCTGGGCCCCGGCCAACTCACTCAGCACAAGATGCCCACCCGCTAAAATGCATCAGGGTACCTCAGAGGCCATGGGATCTTATAGCCCCCCATGTTAGAGAAGAGGAAACTGAGAAGCCCAGCAGCGGTAGGGGGCGGGGCGGGACAGTGATTTTCCCAAGGTCACAGAGTAGTTCCTGGCTCCCAACCCCATGCCTTGCCAAGGACCCCTCTGTCCCTGCCCTCCATGCCGCCTTCAACCCAGACAGACTGGAGCGTGGAGGCCTGGGCCCCATCTGGATTAGGGATTTGTTCTGTCTGGCCACTTCCAGCCTCCCCATCAATGTCAACCATCCTTACTGTGTCTGCCCCCCAATCCTTATCCCCCTCTATTGGCTGGCCCCTGAGTGTGTGTGTTGGGGGGCTGGAGGGGTAGGGCAGGCCCCTGTCAGGGAAGTTGGGATGGGGGCGGGGCCCTCAGCTTCCTGTTGTTCATCACCCTGGGGCTCTGGGGGGGATTTCCCTGGCCACCCCCACCCCCCAGGGAAGGGGAAGGAGCCTGGGTGAGTCACAGGCCTGGGGCGGGAGCCCAAGTGTGAGAAGGGGCGGGAGGAGCCTTGTCACCAAGGTATCAGGGCTCCATGTCGCCCCCCTTCAGGCCCTGGGCCCACAGAGGTGTGTAGGACCCTCTCCCAGACACCAACCCATCACAGGACACCCTCCTCTTTCCTCTGCCGTGGCTGTTCGGATAGGTGCTTACCTTGGTGCTGGGGCCGGTTGGGGACACGGAGAACGGGGAGGTTTTATTCTGGGGGTTCTAGGAAGAAAAAATTGGGGTGGGGAATCGGAAGAGTGAGGTGAAGCAGCTCAGCTCTGAAACCCTGCCCCTCCCCCACAGAGGGCCCCTCTGTTCCCTTCTCCCCCTTCCCACCCCTCCAGCTCATCCACTCCCTCCTGACCTGATGGTTAGTGTCTGGTCCATTTCTTTCAGTGTCTGCAACGAGAGGGAAAGTGAGTTGTCACCTGTGCCCCCCACAGCCCTGCAGCTCCCCCACCCCACGGGCCCCCTGCCTTCCCTGCTCCCCTCCCCACCCACCTGTGTGCTCTGACGGGGAGTCCAGACCTTGCTTCTCGGCCTCCAGGGGCTTAGACATTCTTATTTCTGGGGACAGAAGAGGGATATAAGTGGGGTGAGGGAAGCCAGGAGGGCCCTTGGGCACCACCCGGGCCTCTCTCCAAACCCCCCGCACCCCATGCCACCTTGCAGATGCCTCTTTCCAGGAGACATGCCCTCCTTACTGGGCCTCTGCCCTCCTCTGGCAGGACAAGAACGGGATCCTTTTCACCCCTGCAGAAGGTGGCACGGGGAGGGCCAGCTCCCGTGAGGCCCTGGGACAGGGTGGGAGGCGGCTGGTGGTCGCAGGAAGGCTTTGGTGCCCGGGAGAATGTGGGTGATGTTCCACAGGAGCGAGTCAGCCTTGGGCCTCCTCCCGAGGCACGCCCGTCCTGCCTCACCAGGTTTCGGGTGAGACATGTTTTCCACTCTGAGTGGGGCCTGGGGGTGTGAAGGGCTGTAGCATCCCCAAAGGAGTGAGTCTTCTGATCTCTGCGTGGGATTCGGCGCCCTCTGCCCCTCCCTCAGCCCACAATGTTCCTGTCCACACCTGACCCCCACCTGGCCTCCTGGCCTCCCTTCTCACGTTCAGCACACAGGCCCGGCAGCCCCACTGGACCTCGGAACCCCGACTCCAACACCATCCAGCTCTGCCCCTGACCAGGTCCTTAGCCTTACTCCTAGGCTACCCCAGGACTCCAGCCTTGAATCCCGACTGCACCCCAGATCCAACCCGGGTACCCCAGCATACAAATGCAGTGCCACGCGATCGTCCCGTAAACCCAGGACATGAGGGGAGGGGGCAAACAGCCAGCTGGCACCGGGGACACAAAGCAATGCTCTGCCCTCACAACACTCCGATGCTGAGAATGGAAAGGCAAGCGCTTACCAGTGCTGAGCACAGCATTAAGTGATTCAGAGCTCACAGTAGCAGTTGGTGCTAATATTACCCCCATTTTACAGAGGAGGAAACTGAGGGCCAGAGAGCATAGTAGAGGTATGACAGTAGAGGTGCTCCAATTGGACACCAGTCTTCATGACTCCAGAGCTCCTGCTTTTAATCAGGACTGCTATGGTCTAGTGGACCCCTGCTGTGATTTCTGCCGGCCTCATCTCCAGCTGTCACCCCTACTGGAGTTCACCCTGACTGATGCCATCTCAAATCCAACCCTTTCTAGTCCTAGACCCCACACAAACCTAGGCTTCTGCCCTACCCATTCTCAGTCCCCTTACCCACCCTGAATCCCAACTCCCATCCAGGTGGTACAAGCCCTTCATCTGACCTTGACTCCCAGTGTGGCCCCAGACCTCACTCGTGACCCTGACTCTGACCCGAAGGTCTTCCCCACCACTCACTCCACATCCCTGCCTAAACCACGATGCCCTATCAAAGGGGGTGTCCAACCCAAGAGTGTTCCGTGCCCAAGATATTTAAAGAAGGCCCACTAACGAGAGCTAGGACGTTCTCAGCAACTGGGAAAAAAAAAATGTCCAGGAATTTTGCAATTGAGGGTTACTCGACATGAAACGCTGCTCGGGTTTAAAATTACTGATTAAAAAGCCAGGTCACATACTGCTCGTGGGAGTGTAAATCGATATAAGCACAATTCAGGAAAACTGAAGAGGTGCCCCCTCCCTAGGACCCCGCACATCCACTCCCGGGCAACCTCCTCAGACAGAGAAACACCCGGCCCCTAAGCCCGCAGGCACACAGCAGCCCCTTCCAAATGGCCCCAAACCGGAAACAAGTCAAGGGCCTCTCAGCAGATGGACACAATGTGGTTTGTCCATGCAGTGAAATGCCCCACTACAAGAAAAGGACCAAACTCCTGCATCACACGCACCCCTGAGTCTTGCAGGCCCGACACCGAGGGAAAGACATCAGACACAAAAGCGGACAGACGGTAGGATTCCAATTACAGGAAGCTCACAAACAGGCAAGATGATACCAGATGGCCAAGGTCAGGCTCTGGGTACCGTCTGGGGCTTGCTGACGGGGAATGGGCGTGAGGAGGCCTGCAGGGGGTTGGAAATGTTCTGTACCGTCATCTGTTGGGTGGTTATGTGGTTCCATACATAGGGAAAATTCATCAAGCTGCACCTTTAAAATTCAAGCACTTTACTATAAGTATGTTTTCACTTAAAAAAAAAAAAAGAAAAAAATTAAAAACTAAAAGAAAAGAAAAGAAAGGAAAGGAAAAGAAAAGAAAAGAGCCAGTACACAGCACTACTAAGGCAGAGGCTGGCGAGGGCGGTGTGGGGAGCAGGTGCCCAGGATGCTGCTATGGGAGCTCAGGCCCTGCTTCTAGGCCGTGGGTGGTGGTGAGTGGCTCATGATCTTGAGAGACACAGGAGGAGGCCCCAGGTGCTGGTCCCAGGTGAGAGACCCCACCTTAATCCTGCCTCTACATGACACAGAACTTGGTCCAGCTCCCAGTGACCACTGATGCTAGTGTGGTCCTGCATCCCAGACCTCCTAGCATCCCTGAGACTCCTGCTCCAACCTCCTCCCTGGCCCCTCCTCCCAGCCAGTATCCATCAGGCCCCAGGGAGGATCTCCCCACAATCTGGCTGTGAACCTTTCCACAGCTCCCTGTCTCCCCAAGAAAAACCCAGATAGGGTTTTCAAAGAGGTAATCAAGTTAAATGAGACCATTACGGTGGGCCTTAATCCAATATGACTAGTGTCCTCATAAGAGGAGGAAATTGGGACACAGACACACAGAAAGAAGCCAGCATGAAGACTCAGGGAGAAGTCGGTCCTCCCAAGCCAAGGAGAGAGGCCTCGGAAGGAACCAACCCACTGCCACCTTGATCTTGGACTTCGAGCTTCCAGATTTCAGGGAAGTTAATTTCTGTTGTTTAAGCCACCCAGCATACAGTACTTCAAGATGACAGCCCTGGGAAAATAATACAGCCTCCCACTGCAGTGCCCTCCCACTGTCCTAGCCCTGAGCCCACAGGCCCATGGCCTTCTGTGTCCCCATCCTTTCCCACCAGACCTGGGGCAGGCCTGCTCTGACTCACTGCTGGCTCCCCGGCACCCCCAGCTCAGAAGAGTGGGTACTAAGTGTTGGCTCTCTCTCTCTACTTGTTTCTGCCTCTGTCCTGCTGTCTCTCTACCATTTAACACATGTTTCCTGAGGCCTCGGTATGGGCTGCTCCCCCCATCTGGAAGGCTGCCCCCCACTCTGTCCACCTGGCAAGCTCCTACTCATCCTTCAGGCCCCAGCACAGGCTTTGTCCCTTATGACGGTGGCTCCCTCCACCCACTCCCCTGGTGATTGTCCTAGAGGCTGCAGCCATCTGGGCCCCAGTACATCTCCCCCATCAGACTAGGACCCCCTTGAGGGCAGGTCTGACTCATCTTGGGGTCCACAACACTGCCCAACCCAGGACATCTGGGTCGAGTGCACAGGGTGCCCTGAGGCCCTGATCTCCCTCTTCCCCCCAGCTGGTGACCTTTTCTTCTCTACTAGCAAACTCTGGCTCCTCTTTAAGGTCCCAGCTCACACATCACCTCCTCTGTGAGGTCCTCCCTGACTCCTCAAGTGTTTAGTGTCTTTCTTATCTGGAAACCCCCTGCCTCCCCCTCCCTAACACACTCTGACCCCCTGGGCAATGGCCTCCCCCTGCCCCAGACTATGAGCTTCTTAGAGCCCAGCAGCCCTGGCTGGGACTGTCTTTGGAATGAATGAATGCGTGCAAGAATCTCTGACAGACCAGGACCCAATCTTGTCCCAGGTAAGCCTCTCTCCCTGTCGCCACCTGCCACCTTGACCTTGAGCCCCAATCCCCAAGCAACTCCAACCTAAATCTTTGAAGTAACCTCTTCAGGGATAGTGGCCATGGGGGCAAAGGTGGCATGAGAGGAAATCTCCACCACTCTGTTTCCCTTGTTCTCCCTAATTCTTCCACCACCCCAAATCGCACACAGCCCAGGCACCCTGCAGCATTTGGCCGGGCTTCCTGCAAAATGGCCAGTGTTGCCCTTTGCCCAAGTCCATCTTTCTTTTCTTTCCTCCTTCCCACAATCCACGAAAAGGGAGTCATCAAATCATCCCTACCAAGGATGAAGAGGGGACTCCATTTCCACCACAGGCCCGAAGCCAAATGATGCCTTAACACTGGAGGGCACTGGCAATCCCCTTAAGAGGCCTGATGACGCATCCGTCCTGCAGGCTGTCCGCCCAGGCCCCGGTCTCTTGACTCTAGATAAACGCTGACACCTATTCTCACCCAGACTCTCTGCTTTCACAGGGACAAGGGGAGACCTGGACATCTGGACTTTGAAAAATCCCCCTCCCCCACCCCCACCAGGCCATCGAATATGCTCTGGCTCCCCGGTGTCTTCCGAAGCTCATCTCAAGGCCTCATTCACACAGAAAGGCTGCTTGGTCATGTGACTGTAGTCATCCCTCCCTTCTCCCGTCCCAGGCAGTGTATAACTCTTTAGAGGGCCAGGCAGGAAAAAGCAATGCAGAATTCTGCTGGGCCCCTTCAATCCTACCATCCTGGAGTCAGACACACCCAGGGCTACCCACACCCTTGGGGTCACACTCGCTTGCCCCACTGCCTCAGGCCTGGGACTCTGGGTCCCCTCCGCCCTCCCCACCCCTCCCTCGCCCCTCCCTCCCCGGACTTTCACTTCTCCTCTGCATTTCCCCCAGCCGGTTTTAGCAGACTTCGGCCAGCTTCTCGTTAGCACTTACCGAAAATGGGGCTAAATATAGAGGGCCCAAGGGCTGCCCCTCACCCCTCCTGGCCCCTCTTGGCCTGTCCCCTGGGTCTCCTGCCTTCAGAGCGGGCTTCAATCAAGGCTGCGGCTTGGGAGCCCCTGTGGGCAGGGTTCACGCTGCCGGGAACCTCTGCGGGCCCAGCTGGCCTGGTCCTTGCCTCCCAAGGAGCAGCACCTCACACCCCCACCACCCCACATCTGTCCCTGGGTGGCCTCAAGGGAGTGAACACTTCTGAGCTGTCAGGAGGGAGGGATGGCGAGAGAGGCAGCAGACACAACAAGAGAGGGTGGCCCCCGCAGCTGTGCAGACAACAGGCTAGAGCTGCTACGTCGCACACACACCACAGCCTCAGCCGGGCAGGGCCCAGACGAGGACAGACCATGCAAACACACACAGAGACAGGTGCGCACAGAGCCCAGGCAGAAGACACACACCCAGACAAAATGACATGGGCACATATGCAAAACACACCCTAGACATGTGCAAGTACACCTGCACTTACACACACACTCACACACCCAGGTCACTCAGACAGACAACACACACATATGCCCACATACACCGAATCGCACCCTGGAGTCACAAAGAGACATACAAATAGACATGCATGTGTACACACACACACACACACACACACACACACACAGAGGTCACTCAGACACACACACATACTCACACCTGAGTCACTCACAGACAGATAGACAGACGTGCATACACACATGCACTCTGGTTGCTCAGATAGACGCATACATATGCCCAGAGCCACACAGACAGGTACACGGAGACATGCACACGCACGTGTGCATACACACATACAGTTACTTGGAAACACACAAATGTGCACACATACTCAGAGTCACTCACAGACAGACACACGGACTGACACAGACAGACAGACACACACATACCCAGGCCCCCCAGATGAACATACACACACACACACAAGTGCACACTCACACATCCAGAATCAGCTCATCCTGGGAGATGGCCAGGGTGGACCCCTGAACCCAGTTCGCAGGTGTGGAGCTCAAGCCCAGGTGGGACAAATGATCTGCCCAAGACCATGCAGTGTATTCATTCTCGTCCAGGCAGGGAAGCCAGGTGGATTTCCCGGGCAGGGCAGCTCTGTGAGAAATCCCCAGCCAGGGGTCTAACTCAGGACTTCCAGCACATACGAGGCCCCCATTCAACCCCAGATGGGCATGAGTCCGGGGTGGAGCAGAGGGCATGCATGTGCAATGCCCCGGATCCCTGGGTCTACACTGTATGTGCGCACACACATACATAGTTGCACAGACAGTCACCTCAATAAATAACCATGTGCCATCCTGTAAGTACTCTTCCCTCCATCTCAACCCCCTCTTTCACCTCCTTTGTCTTGCTTATACCCACTCATCCTTCACATCTCAGCCCACACGTCCCCTCCTCCAGGAAGCCCTCTCTGACACCCCACTGGCTCAACCAGGCCAGCCTTCTGGGCTCCCACGGCTCCCTGTGTCTCCAGCATCCCAGCCCTGACTCCTCTGCCCATGCCTCCTCTGCTGTCTAGCCAACAGGTCTGTGTGTCCCAACTGGGAACTCCGGGAGGACGGGCCCCAGGCTCCCTTTTTCAGTTATATTTCCATCACCCAGCATGGAACTGCTCAAAAAATATATGTGTTTGAAGGATCCCAGGGATGCCCACACACACAGATGCAGAGAGGATGGCACATGCCAAACCAGGACTCATCCCGCAGATGCTCACGAATGGGACACATACCAACACTCACACCTATATAGCCACAAACGAAACAATCACGCAGTGCTGACGCTTGCTGTGTTCCAGGCACTGTGTTAAGCATCTACACACATTACCTCATTTAACTGTCCCATCAGCACTGCTGGGAGATGACTATCATTATGCAGAGAGAGACACATTTTATCAAATGAGCCAACAAATACAAATCACGTTGTACGGTGCCTGGCACCCAACATCCACCTGGTCTGCTGACATATAATAAATTTCCAGGCGGTGATAAATGCCATAAAGGAAAGACAAAGCAGGGGCAAGGGGACTGAGAATGGTGGGATTGGTTGCCAGTTCAGACAAGGAGGTCAGGGAAGGCCTCCCTGAGGAGGTGACATTGAAGACAAATGAAGTGAGGCAGTGAGCCAAGAGATCATTGCCAAGGCGAGCCCACAATGCCACACACAAGAGCCCCGCAAGCACAGACACATGACAGGCATACTCGGAGGACTCAGAACTACCAGTCACCTACACACACACAGAAACTCACACGCACTGAAAAATCCTGCAACTTAGTGTTCCCACCCCTTAGCAGCCGCCCCACCAAGAAGCCCACTCACTGATCCTCCATATAAGAGCCTGCTACCAACACAGGGCTCCATCGTTCCCCCCCCCCCCAGCCCTCAGAACATGGCAGCACAGATGAGGAGGGAGATCAGAAGCCCCCAGGTGCTTGGAGTGGAAGGGAAGGGGAAAGAGGAGCTGAGGGTAGGGACCCAGGGTGGGAAGGGGGAGCTGGTGAGGTACAGAGCGAAAGAAAATAAGAGGAGACAGCTAAGGAGGAAGGGCAGGGCAGGCAGCGGGCGCTGGCCCCAGGCCCCTTACCTGGAGCCCCCATGCTGGAGTGAACCATGCTGCCCGCCCCGCAGGGCTGGGGGAACAACTGTGTCATCTCCCCGCCCTCTCTGGGGGCCAAGCCCTCTCAGCCGGAAGTCACCCAGGGAGGAAACCACAGGGTCCGCCCCCTTCAGAAGGGAAAATACTCTGGCCCAAAGGCCCACCTCAGGAGGCTGCAGACCCCAAATCATGTGTGTGTTGGGGAAGTTGGGGCGCAGGATCCCCAGGCTGGAGGGGCTGAGTCCTCCAGCTGAGTGTCTGGGACATGCCTGCCCCAGCTACCCCAGCCCTCCCTCCAGCTGCCTCCACCAAGGCCAACATATCTGGAACAGGGCATGTGGGCCTGGGAAAGAGGGTGGGCCCCTAACAACAACAACAACAACAACACTAAACACTGGCTGGAAGTTTTGGGGGGCTTTCCCAATGCCAGGCTTGACAGGCGCACTTGACAGGCACCATCTCTTATACTGATCACTATTTGTGCCATTTTACAGACCAAAAGACTGAGGGCCAAGAGAGCTGAGGTGCCTTCCCGAGGGCCCAGAGCCAAGAAGCGATGAAGCCAAGAAGCACAGCGGGGGGAGACGTTTGCGCTGGGTGTCCTGCAAGGCTGTGAGAGGGGAGGTACCCAGCCACGCACCTGTCTGCAGGTGAGGCATCCATCCACTGAGAGGAATCGGTGCCCGTGGGCAGTGGCAGTGAGGGCGACGGGGCAGGGCCTTGGCCCAGATTGGCAAGACGTCTGTCAGGGGGCAAATGCGGGCGGCCGAGCCGGTTCAGGTGAGGGGAGCCCCGCGTCCCCTGACTGCCCGCCCGCCATTCTCAGAACTGCGCTCCCGGACCAGCATTTCCCACCGCGCCCGCCAGAGGGCGGCAGCGCTCAGCCAATAGGCCGGAGGGCGGGGCCGGCTGCGGAGGAGGAAGCCCCTCCCTCTGCTCCCCTCCCCGCACCCCCCCGCCCCCGCGCGCACACCTGCGAGGGTCACACAAAGGCGCAGGACTCCCAGCGCACCGCGGTGTAGACAAAGGCGCGGCGGAGTCCGCTGCCCTCTTCCTCCTGCTCGCGCTCGGTCCGAGGCTGCAAGGCCACCTGGCGCGTCCATACAGCCCGCCCGCCCACCCTAGGTCCTGCAGGCCTCGCCGCGCCCACGCTGAGGGACCCCCAAACCACACGTGCGCACACAGACGCCTGGACTCACCCAGACAGACACATACACTCAAGCATTTACACACATGGGCCCCAGCACTTCACACACACGTGTGCACACGCAGACACAAGAGAACCCTCGTCTATGAGCCCAGGGTCCAATATCAGCCCTCTCTACCCACCATCCGAGACTCCTGTGTACAGAAACCTCTCTGCTCCCTCACGTGGGCACAAGGGCACATCTACACGTGTGTGCCCAGGCACACCTCCTGGCCATGTGTGCCCACGCTCACACCCGTGCACACTCGGGCAGGACAGAACACACAGGCAGACCCTTCATGAGTGCCCTTCCTTCTGGACCCAGTGCACCCAGACACACCCAGGCAGGCAGGCCAGCCCGCCCACTCACTGGGGATGGCCAAGGGCTTTTACATCTGCACACAGAGGGGACAGTTCCCAGCCACCTATACTCCACAGCATCCCATATCCCAATAGCTGTTTCACCCAGGAGATCCAGAGACCACAGAGCATCAAGCCACCCACCACAGCTTCAACTCAGACCTCCCCCCTCCTGGCCCAACCCCGTCTCTCTTTCAGATGCAGGGTTTCTGTACATGAGGGCCTTCCGGATGGCAGTCTGGCTGGTGGCTGTGAGTACTGGAGTCTTGTCTTGATGCTGTAGGCTCTGTTCTGATTTAGGATTTACATCTTGAGGGGCATGGAAATGAGGGTAATGAGGACATCACGGGGGGCCAGAACCCTACCAAGCCACCGTCATGATCCACCGTGGACATAGTCAATATCATCCATGTCAGGTTCCTGCTTTTGGACATGACTGGGTGTCAACCCCTTAGGATGAGAACGAAGGGAAGCGCCACCCATTTCTGGCGCTGCCCTCCCAGGTCTGTAGCTGAGTGGGGGGGAAGCCAGGGAAGGCCTCAAGTGCTCCCCCAAGGGATAAAATCACCCCATACCTCTTGCCTCCCAGGCTGACAGAGTCCCTGAGCTGGAGTGAGGGAGCGGAAGAAGAATGGGTCTGAGATGTCTGCCTGCTGGGAAAGAACAGAGGGCCAGACTTTGGGGCCGCTGGGTGGATAAGGCCTGGCAGCAAGGAATGGGAGGCCCAGGCAGGGTGGATAGTGCCCTCTCAGCCAGAGAAGAGGCCTCAAGCCATCTTGAGCAAGGCAGGTAGGACATGGGAGCTGGGGAGCAGTGGGGGGCCTCTCAGGTGTGGGGAGCCTGGGAGGGAGGCAGTACAGGGGAGGCCAAGCTGGGCTCAGGGCTGAGCGGTAATTAAAGGAGACGTAGGGGGCTCCCCAGGGCCAGCGGGGCTGGTAACTGACACGCGGGCCCCATTGCTCTGCTCATATTTCTCACCGGATCGATACGTTTGACTCCCGACAAGACAATAATCGCTTGTACGCGGCCGGCGAGTCGATCAAATACATTATTAGAGCGAGGTCCCCTGGGGGCCCGGCAGGGAGTGGTGGGGGGGGAGCAGCCAGCCCATCGGGGACAGCAGAGCGGGATTCTTCACCCCTCAGGGCCCCCAGCCATGGCCTCTTCCTCTCTGTTGTCCCTGGGGACCCTCTCTGTGGCTTGGTTCCCTGACTTCTTTTGGGATTCCCGCTGTCTCTGGCAACCTCTCCACTCAGCCCCCGCAACATGTCCCTGCTCTGCGTGGGGACCCAGGGGGTCTTTCTCCGCAAGTGCTTCCTCATCTGTAGGGCTGTGCCTGTTCGAGCTCAGAGAGGCCCCTCAGACCCCCAGCTTAGCCGGAGACAGGGATACAGGCCACGCTGAGTCAACAGCCGGCCCATTAGGAGAACTGGTGATTTACCGATACCAACCTTCCTCTTCATCTCAACTCATGGGCCTTTAGAAGAGAACAGACTGAGAAGGCTCTGGAGGGAGAGGGGGTCAGGGAAAACTGGCTAAGGGACCCAAACACATAGGAAAACAGGATGAGGAGTGGCAGACAGACACAGAGACAGAGAGGGGTCTGGCTAGTCCTACTGCAAGGCAGTCCTCCTGTGGGCCTTAGATACTCTCAAACCAAACCTAGCCTTGGCCTGCCCTGGGGACTGCTTGCCCACCTCCTCCCTCACCTGCCCAGTTTCTGGGCTTGAGCCTTCATTTCCTGTTTACACACCTGCTTCACCCTCTGCCCTGCCCTCAAAACGCTTCTCCAGTGGCCCTAAGTCAAGGTCAAACTGCAACCACCCCATGATCTGCTTCGGAGCACCCAGCATCCAGGGACTTAAATATACATTTCTTCTTCACCATCATCATCATTACCACCACCAACACCACCAAAAGCAGCAGGAGCAGCACTGTCTGCTCTGTGATAGTTGAGCCAATACAGTATGTCTAGTTCTCACGACAATCTGAGAAAGCAAGGTCTATGATCATCCCCCATTTTACTGATGAATTGGAGCTCAGAGAGGTGAAGTCACTTGCCCCACGTCGCACAGCATGTGAATGGTAGAGTCAGGATTCAAACCCAGACCTGTCCTCCGCATAGCTTGCTCTCTCTCTCCTGCACCATGGGCCTCCTTCGAGCTTTGGAATGTTCCCCATCCTCCAGTGGATAGCAGGAAGCCCGCCCAGGAATACCAAATCCCTTCACGGCCCGCAACCCCACTCCCACAGCCCTTAGTCCTGATTTTCAACAATGCAGTCGACTCCCTCTGACTCATCAGCTCCTGGCTAAAGGTAGGCCAACCCTTCCATGTCCTTCAGTTCAAGTGTTTCCTGTGTGTCCCTTGGTGCCAAACCCTGGGCTGGGGGCTGAGGACCTAGAGATGAGGTGGGCTGAAACGTGCCTTAGAATCTGATGGAAGACAGAGGCTGGTGCGGTACGGAAGGCTTGTGAAGAGGTGGCATTTACAAAGCAGTCTGGCCTTCGTGAGGCAGAGAACATGGGGGAGCCCACCGCCAACAACGGGAACGGAAGAGTTGGGAAGGGAGGCATGTGTGGCTTGGTACAGGGCAGTCAAGGCAGATAGAGGAGACAAGGTGGAGAAGCTGAGCCAGGCCCCAGGGTCTTGCAGGACTGGCAAGCATTTTGGATTTTACTACAAGCACAGTGGGATGCCACCCAGAGGGTCTTCAGCAGAGAAGTGACATGTTTCTGTGGACAATTCAGGCTGCTGTGGGAGGCCAGACTGAAGGGCCAGAGTGTGAGGGAGGTCAGCCAGGAGGAAATAGGTGGTGTCCACGTGAGATGGAGGGGATGATGGCTGGGACCAGAGTGCTGGTAGTGGTGGTGGCGCAAACAGGTGTCCCTAGAAGCAATTTCCAGAATAGACCCAATAGGATTGCATGATTTGCTGGAGGTGGGGTGGGAGTTAGGGGATGAGTCAAGAATGAAGCCCAGGAAGGCGGAAGTACCTTTTCCACCTTTGAAAGGTGGAAGATAAGGGAGACCTCAGGCTGGGATGAGAAAGATCTGGGCAGGGCACCATACATGCCTCGAGGCTGGATTTGACGTTGCAGGTAGAAGACTTTTGAGCTTGGACAGTGCGTGTAAGAGAGATCCATGGTGTGAGGACAGGCTGGTGGGCGGAATCTGGAGGCAGGATGATCACAGAGAAGACTGGGACAATGGCTGAGATGACAGGGAGGTTGGGGCCATGAGAGTCTGCCTTCATGCCAGATTCTACAGGACTCTGGTGGGCCTGCAGGTGGACGACTGGGGCACATGGCTGGGTAAATACTGAGACCATTACCGATGGACAGTGGGAAGGAAAGCAAATGCCCAGGTCAGTGCTGGGGGCAAGATCAGGAAGAGGTGTGTCAGAAGCAGCGAGATCTATGGACCAGGAAGCCAGCAGATGCTTAATAAATTCACATGGACACAGCATTCCTCGCTGTACCACCCTCAAGCCCG